GCAAAACGAGAGTGAATCTTCCACTAGAACATGGAAAGATGCAACGCCACGAGGCCCCAAGGATGACACGCATAGGTAGGGAAATCTGAGAAGGAAAATCAAAAAAGAAAAAGAAAAGAAAAGAAACTGTGTTGTTTTCAGCACGTGTATCCTCTAGGGCCTCTGCCTTGTTGTCAGCCCGTGTATCTCGTTGGGCCCCTGTATCCCCCTTGCAAAAAAGAAAGCTGTATCTTTCCATGTTCTACCGAAGATTCACTCTCGTTTTCCACATTTTGATCGTGGAAACTGAGAGTGAATCTTCTGCTAGAGCATGGAAAGATATAGCGCCACAAGCTTTTCGTTTTTTCTTCTTGTTTCTTCTTTTTTTTTTTGGAAAACGGCCTGGCCCGTGTATCTCGTTGGGCCCCTGTATCCCCGTTGCCCAAAAAAAAGAAAAGCTCGTGGCGCTGTATCTTTCCATGTTCTAGCCAAGATTCACTCTCGTTTTGCACATTTCGATCGTGGAAACTGAGAGTGAATCTTCTGCTAGAACATGTAAAGATACACCGCCACGAGCTTTTCTTTTTTTCTTCTTGTTTCTTTTTTTTTTTTTTGGAAAACGGCCTGGCCCTCCGACGTGGATGACTAGACTGCAGTTAGAAACTCTGCCCTGCGACAGGCACGCGACCTACGAGTTTGGACTGCACTGTAAACTTGAGAGGGGACTGGACTCAAAAACGGCAGTTTGAAACGCATTTTCAAACTCTAACCCTGACCGCGCCCTAGTTTTCTCTAAAAAAAAAGTGAACGCGAAAAGAAAAAAACCGTAATTTTTTATCGAAATGTCCGCACAACAGATCAGAAGCCTCAGAACTCATACAACTCAGCAGCATAGGAACTTACACCGTTTTGTCGTCGTCTGATACTAATGATCGACTGCCGTATTGATTGCTCTGCAGGGTCTCAACTTTGCGTTGGATCGAGCTCTCGGCTATTTCATGGAGAGCAGGGAGTGGTGGACCGAATTGGTGACGAAGGTCATGCAAATGGATTTCAGCTGGGATAAGCCTTGTGAGGAGTACATTGATCTGTACCAAGCAGCGCTGGCAAGGCGAACTGTTCGGTAATGCAAGCGGCAATTGTGGGTCGACGCTGGCGAGAAGGCAGGCAGGCTGGCTGGCTGGCTGGCTGGCTGGCTGGTTGGTTGGCAAGCATTTCCCCCCCCCCCCCTCCTTATCTCCCGACGTGCTTGTACGTCCATACTTCAAGTTCGTCGCATTGTCTTGTGCGTACTCGGTCCCCCACATACTGGTGAGGTAATCAGCTCACCACACTGACTCTCTCCCTCATGTAGGCAGGTGATTTTACCTCATAGCATCCTAGTAGACTCCTAGCACATGCGAAGAACACCCTCGCGCTCTCTTTCTCTCAAGGGCAATCAGCACACCTCAGGTTCGGGTTGTCAGACCAGTCACCTCCCAGCGACAGGCTCTCAGATCCGTCCTCCTCCTTAATGTTTAGTTTCTATGAGCAATCACCATACCGCTGTGTTGTTTGTGCAATGCCAGTTGCAATAGACGTCCGCTGCGAAGCTCAAATATTCTGGTAGGTTTAAGTTATTCATTCACCTCATGGGGAGCAACCATCGGGAGCACTCACAGGACGCCTGAAGTTACATCACACAACTGTATTATATCTATTGCAAGTAGTAGCCATAGTTTTGTGAACTGTGAATCTGTGGAAGCTGTGCTCCCTTCTCTCCCTCCCCTACGTCGCCCCCTTCCTGCTCCTCTCTGGACATCCTCTATGATGTTTGTTACTTCCACCTTTCTCTCCACCCTCTCTACCCTTCCTACTCTCTCTCTCTCTCTCTCTCTCTCTCTCTCTCTCTCTCTCTCTCTCTCTC